CAGAATGGCTAGGATAAAAAACTCAAGTGACAACACATGATGGAGAGATTGTAGAGATAGGGGAACTCTCTTCCACTGCTGGTGGGAATGTACACTTGTACAACCACTCTGGAAAGCAATCTGGTGCATCCTCAGACAACTAAGAATAGAGTTTCCTCAAGATCTAGCTATACCACTCTGAGGCATATACCCAAAAGAGGCTCAAGTACACAATAAGGACATTTGGTCAACCATGTTTGTAGCAGCCTTATTTGTAATAGCTAGAAGCTGGAAACAGCCCATATGCCCCTCAGTGGAGGAATGGATACAGAAATTGTGGTACATCTATAGAATGGAATATTACTTGGCAATAAAAAACAAGGAAATCATGAAATTTGCAGGTAAATGTTGGGATGTGTAAAAGATCATCCTGAGTGAGATATCCCAGAAGAAGAAAGATGCACATGGTATGTACTCACTCATATAAACATAGAAGATAAACCTACTATAATCTGTACACTGCCAGAACCCGCCAGCAGAGTCGAATGGTTCTTGAGTTGGGAGTGAGGATTAAAATTAATAAACTAACACACAACACACAGGAGACTTTTTAAGAGGTTCCAGGCTCTACAGCCATAGCAGCAGCCTGCCTTTTTTATTGCAGAGAGCTTTTAAGCCAGAGTAAAAACAGCTCAGAATAATGGGTTAAATTTACAAGGAGCTGAAGCAAGAGGTGAGATCTTCACAAGCTATCCCACCTGCTGTCACAAACAAAAGGAGATGGACTTGCAAATTCTTCCCTGACTTCAGTGAAGGCCTGGTAAAAGCAGTCTTTCTGCTGAGATTTAAATATCAAAGCAGCTGCCAGATCAACAGCTCCTGACAGGTCTCCCTTTTTTATTTTTATAATATTGGCCATAACTTAAGAGTTATGGAGCAGAAGATTGTGCCTGTCTTAGGTCGTTTCTCTCATAAGATATATTCTTACCTGTCATCAGTACATGAATTCCATCATTTATGCCCTGTCTTGGGTTAAACATATACCAGAGAAACTTTACCTGTCTCTGACTACCAACCTCTGCTAGGGTAGACACTGGGATTTGATCTTATGCAGATCAGCTCAGCTTTGACGATCTAAAAGGCCTTCAGGCAGGTTTTAGTTGCCACTGATAGGAGCATAACTCCTATCACTAGCCAAGTCCAAAATAACACTCCATAAAAGTGACTTAGCAGATGACTCCTTGTGTAAATTACCAAGTCTGAGAAACATTCACAGGAACCATAGTAAAAGACGGTCGAGCAATCAGAACCATTTGAAAGCTTACAAATACAGTTACATTGAAGGCAAGAAACATTAAAGTTTGAATCTTGTTAACATTTCCAAACAACAAAACAAAAGGAGAATTTACATAGGCAGTTACAGGGCCTCCCAAGAGTTTCTGAAACAAGCTTATTTTGGTCTGCTGAAAACTAGAGTCAGACCATAGTTTCATAGTCAGTCCTCTTTTTATTCTTTCTGGTTTTGTTGAGAATAGTCCTTATTAACAGAACAATCAAGTCCAGTCCATTGTATAAGAGGTTTCTCTGCATAATGTCTTCTCCCAGGAGCAGAATGAAACAAAAGTGGGTCAGGAGCTTAAGTCCAATGCAGCTTTTCGGTATCAGTCAGGGCAGAATTTATGAGTGTCTGCAGCGGGACCATCCTCCTTCTGGGGAACAACTCCTGCAAATCATACCAGCCTTTCTGGGATCCACCTGGCTCCTTCTGCGTCCTGTGGAAAAACACAAACATGCTGTCTTCCCCATATTAATATGGGGTCGGGGTACTGCCATATTCCAGTAATCGGATCTTTCCATTTTACTTGGTCATAATTATTTTTGGTATTAGGATGCCACAATCGATCAGCCACAGAATGGCCTTGTATATCCACATTCAAAAAAATTAAAATAAAGAGAGCATGATTAATATAATTCTGTGGTGTTTGGGGATATAGCTCCCCCCTTTTTATTTTTTGCAATTGGTTCTTTAGAGATCCATGGGCTCGGTTCACAATTCCTTGGCCTTGAGTATTATATGGAATGCCCATTTTTATGACTTATACTCATTTGTGCACAAAAACGTTGAAAAGCTAGATTCATATATCCCGAGCCATTATCAATTTTTGTAATGGAAGGAATACCAATTGCAGCAAAACACTTTAAGCAATAACATGTTTGGTGGCTTCTCCTGTTAAGGGAGTTGCCATGATAAATCCTGAAAAAGTGTCAATTGTTTCATGAACATATTTTAGTTTTTCAAATTTTGGGACATGAGTTACGTCCATTTGCCACAAATGATTGGGAGTCAAGCCTCTAGGACTGACACTATAATGAGATACATTAAAATGTTCAGGACAAGAGGAACATGATCTTACAATTTGTCTGGAGGCTTCTATGGTATATTTTAAGTTTTTTTTTTTTAAGCTCTTGCTCTTTTGATGATGTAATGCATGAGAATTTTGAGCCAATTCTTGTTGAGTTAATCCAGCCAAACATCTATGATGTATCTGGGACATAGAGATAATAATGATTTAATAGCTGAAATAATAAGCCATGTAGTATTCCACTACCCAAGGGAATGGAACCCAACAGATAGACATCCATTTAACAGGGCTCTGCACATATTAGCTTCCCTACTAAGTTGCTATATTACCAAAAGCGACTACCCACACTATGGAATGGGAATGTGCAGGTCCCTAGTAAGATACTCAACACATGAGGCATTGGTGTTATTGGATGATGATTGCTATTCTAGACTAGATACATTAGCACAGAAAAAAGAACCAAAATCACTCGAGACTTACTGCGTTAGAGCTTTCAGTAGAAATTTTATTAGAGATTCATTGTTTGAGTTTTCAGCATATATCACTTGGTATGAAATGTATTTAGCTTATAAAAAAATCAAGAGGATTATACACTGACTATTTGGAAAGAGGAACTTTACAATACATGACTAGAGTTCCTCGCTCAACAACTTTGAGATTTTTTATGAATAACAGACAACAAATTCAGGAGGCAGAGGGACATCAAAATGTAAACCCCCTGCCTGCCAGCGAAAATTGACACCTTTTATGCTGATTTCATTTCAGATGTCAGGGGGTGGAATGTAATGAGCCTGTGAGACAGCAAAGCTGTCAGGAGCAAAGTTAAGAGACATTTTTGGTGACAGTGACTGGGCAACACCCCTAAGACATTGAGAGCTTGTAAGACAGCAGAGCTGTCAAGGATAGATAAAAAGATATTCGTAGTAATAGTAGTTAAGAACGGTCTTAAGGCAGCTGACATGTGTGCGTGTGTGTGAAAGGATGATAAGTTAAAGCTATGCCTTGAAAATTGTATAAAAACTGGAGCCAGAGCCCACTCAGGTGCAGCACGCCAGACTCTTTGGTGAGTATGCCGAGAGACCGCCACTAACCAGCCAATTCCCGAATGGCTGCTTGAAAAGCCCAGACCACCTTAACAAACCAGTTTTGAAAGGAGCACCTTATCAGACGGGCCATGGAAGGTGGCTCCTGAGCAACTGTAGCTTTCTTTGCAACTGAGGCCTGGCTGGAGCAGAGAAGCTCTGAGGCCTATCAAGTCATCAGAAGATGCATCTGAGGTCCGGATGGAACTGTGAAGTTCCAGGACCTAGAAGACACCCGAAGCCGGAGGCAAAAGTGTCTGAGCCCGTACCTGTGACCAGGTTGTATTCCCCATAGGATGTATAATGAGCTAGGCAACTCTTAAATATTTGTGTGATTAAAGCAGCATTCGAAAATCATTCTGGCTTTGGCTTTTATCAAAACCTTGCCGCCCTTTGGGGCGTCTCGGTTCCGGCATAATTAAGTGCTCGTGACAAAGTCCCACTCCAGTCTTTTAATTTCTTTTTGCCAAGGCTTACACTTTTAAATATGCATAGCCTGAATTGGAGGGTATCTCTCAGAATAATACTGATCTGGTTCTTTCTCCAACTCTGCAACCTCATTAGGATGTAAGTCTTCCTCAAAGTCTCCTTCTGGCAATAAATTACTGTCATCAGGAAGGAAATATAACTCCTCTGGAGGAGCTGATGGTATAATATCATTTTCTCTTGAAGCCTGCCATCTTTCTAACCTTCTTCTCTCTAAGCCTGAAAGTTTAACTTTCTTAGTTTCCTGCTGCTTATACAGACTACCTTTAATTAAGTTCCATACAGAAAACACTAGGCTAATGCCTTGTCCCATTTTTATTTTTAAACTTACTAACTGAGCCCTTTCTACTTAATGATGCAAGCTCACAAACAACTGTGGTGTCCTTCACTGATTCCCTGTATCTCAAGCCCCATGTTGGGCACCAATCTGCCGGAGCCCACCAGCAGAGTCGAAGGGTTCTTGAGTTGGGAGTGAGGATTAAAATTAATAAACTAACACACAACACACAGGAGACTTTTTTAAGAGGTTCCAGGCTCTACAGCCATAGCAGCAGCCTGACTTTTTTATTGCAGAGAGCTTTTAAGCCAGAGTAAAAACAGCTCAGAACAATGGGTTAAATCTACAAGGAGCTGAAGCAAGAGGTGAGATCTTCACAAGCTATCCCACCTGCTGTCACAAACAAAAGGAGATGGACTTGCAAATTCTTTCCTGACTTCAGTGAAGGCCTGCTAAAAGCAGTCTTTCCACTGAGATTTAAATATCAAAGCAGCTGCCAGGGCCAAGGCTCCCAACAGTACACCTAAAGATTTTTGATTTTTAATGGAAGACTGTCTTAAGTTCATATCAATATTTGCAGACTGAGAGCTCTAAATTGGTCTTTGAGCTTCTATGTTCACTTTTCTCCCAGTGATTGATTATTTGCTTGGATGATATTTTTCACTTTAGATTTAACCTGGATACTCTCACACCACAGAACCAAGGCTATTTCCTTTCTTATTTGATGACTACTTTGCATAGGTCCCTACAAGCCAGCCCAGCTGCTCATATTTTATAAACCAGTCCTTTGCAGTGAGAACTGAAAAGCATCAGACAGGCAGTGGCATGAAGATGGAGTCACAGATCCAAGTCTTCATATTTTTGCTCCTCTGGATATCGGGTGAGACCTTAAAGACTATTGGAACATCATCGAAGTAATTCGTTTGTAGAGAAACAGCTATTTACTATAGGAATCCAATAGTATGCATGCAATGCCATTAGAAAAAAACATTTTTTATCCCAACAATTGTATCAGGAACTCTTTGTGTATTTATGTATATACTCATTGTCTATTTCTCATTGCAGATGCTGAAGGGAACATTGTGATGACTCAGTCTCCTGAATTCATGTTCGCATCTGTTGGAGAAAGAATCACCCTAAGCTGCAAGTCCAGTCAGAGTGTGGGTAGTTATGTAGCTTGGTACCAGCAGAAATCAGGGCAGCCTCCTAAACTGCTAATCTATGATGCATCCACTCGATACACTGGGGTCCCTGATCGCTTCACAGGCAGTGGATCTGGGACAGATTTCACTCTCTCCATCAGCAGTGTGCAGGCTGAAGACCTGGCAGTTTATTACTGTCAGCAACATTACAGCTATCCTCCCACAGTGCTTCAGCTTCCAACACAAACCTCCTTGAGAGTCTCACCAGCTGCCTGCACCACACACAACACTGGGCCTGCACACTTCCCCTTTCTGCTGGAGATCTTGCACTTGTCAGAATGGTTAAGATCAACCACACAAGTGACATTTTATGCTGGTTAGGATTGCAGATAATGGGAAAGAATACTCTATTGTTGGCACGAGTGAAAACTTATATGGCCACTGTGGAAATCACTATGGTGGTCCTTCAGAAAAATTTTAATTGATCTACCTCAAGAACCAGCTATATTACTTTTGCATGGATAATTCATCCTATCACAAGAACTTTTGCTGAACCATGTTCTCTGTGGCTTTCTTCATAAGAGCCAGGCTGTGGAAACAATATAGATATCCCTAAACTGAAGAATAAACATAGAATTGAATAGGAATCGGTTGCTAAAATAATGACAGCACAGATCTTATGGAAGCAGCCAGCCAATGTTTCATTTGATTTAAGGCCTACTTCTCAAGATAGAACCCATACCCAACACTGCTAGAGTCTCCAGGAACTAGTCTATACATCTCAGACAATGAAGGTAAAGCCAAACACAACTTGTCATAAAAGTATCAATACAATGACTTCTAATAATATTCTGCTATACTCACAGATCTATCATTTTCCACTAATCATCAGAGAGGTTTTCTCCAGCAGCAGATATGATCTGATGCAGAGAACTGTAGCCAGAAATTATTCAGAAAGAGTATAGATGGAAGATCTCCATCAAACCTGTTTACTCAGATATCAGGGATTTATAAGAACAGTGTAAGAGCCAGAGTACGTGGAGTGGTCCAGGAGAATAAGGCCTGGTGAATCAACTCAGCAATGCTCATATGAGGTCACAGAGATAGAAAGACCATGAATGGGACCTATAAGGACCTGGATTATGTCCTCTGTGCTTATATACAGCTTTTAGCTTAGAACCTTTATGTTACTCTTGTTTTGAGAATGATTGGTTCTGCCTCTTGCGTCTGGGCAAGGTACGTCTGTGCTAGGAATATTTTTCTTCCTGGGTTTTGTTTTGTTTTTTTGTTTTGGTTTCGTTTTTTATTTTTATTTTTGAATATTAAATTTCAATATAATAGTTTTTGCTTCATCTTATTATATCTTATTTTGTAACTTCTGGTTCTTTTCTCTTAGAAACCTGTTTTTCTTTATCTAATAAGAGACAGAAAGGGAGTGGATCATGAGGGGAAGATTTGCAGATAGGAAGTGGAAAGAGTAGAGGGAGGGAAAAATATAATCAGGGAATATTGTCTAGAAATATAATTTATTTTCAATAAAACTAAAAATAAATAAACAACCACCCACAACAAAGTTGTTTAATTTTAATTTTAGTAGAGTTTATGAGCTTTCCTGGTGGATTTCACTCCATAACAATTTCAGGATAAATCCTACTCATCTCACAGTTGACCAGTAGAAACATGGAAAGCAGCCCAACCCTAGAGCTTATACAGTGCCTGCTTTCCTTCCTCCCTGATTTCTCTGGGGATCAGGAGCACTAGCACCCCAGGCTAGGTAGCAGGAACCTCAATTTGAGAATGAATGGCAATTAGAGTGAAGGCAGGAGCAGAACTGAAACTTCTTCTAATCCATGAAGAGGAGGGCCTCCCTGGGAAACATGTGCAAATTTTCCAGTGGACAAAGTGATATGCAGACAACCAAGGGGCCGATGGGCAGCCTATTAGGGGAGGCACTGGTATAAATTGCCTTCTGTCTGTGCATGGGCAGGTGACAGTGGTGGAGCAAGGAGCACTCTAGCTCACTGCTGCCCATGCCTAGGATGTTAGCAGCATATCAGGTCACAGGCTTGGTGAGAAGATAGCATCCATATCAATCTCTGATATTCTAACAGCATGTGGTACATTGATTTCCCTTTTCTTGAGTAATAATTGGCTGTTAATATAGCAATTCACCAATCTTGAGTCTGCTAGTCTATATGAGTAGGAATGGAGCATCAGGGATCTCTGCTCAGAGCCTTTCAAAGTCTACACTGAGTGGCTGTTAGGCAAGATGTATTATTTTTGTTTTTTTCCTCATCATGGTTCCTTTTTATTGAAAGCTGGTATTGGAGACTACTCCCAATTTTATCATGAGTCTTTCTGATCTGTTTCTTTTTGTCTGAATATATGTTATAAGGGGACCTGTGATTTGTTCAGATCCACTCAAATAACATGCAACTCTAAAGGTCCTGTTTTGTTGTTAATGCATCTGAATCCCTTTAGAGATATGTGCTTTGCTGCTTGACCACATACATTGAGGAAAATGTGCTCACTGCAGTCAGGAATATTTAGGTCAGCAAACTGAGAGTTCTTTCTATTTAACATCAGAATAATTTTACACATGCTGATAATGTGCCCATTGCATTTCTGAAATAAGGAATGATTTAGAAATTACATTTAAAACTATCATTTGAAATTTTCATGCATGTATATATTGGATTGTAAACATTTCACTCTCATTCCCTTTAATCTTCCTCCCCTATCTCCTGCTGAATATATTTTCCCCAAAACCATTATTTTTTTTTCTGTTTGCGGTTCTTTATTTTGTCTTCTGATTATTTCCTGGAATATGGGATACATTCTTTAAAAAATTGACTCCCAACACCTTTTTTCCTGCCTTTCTTACTTAGTCAATGTCATTCAGTGAAGGATAAGGCCATATTACCTTTACATGAGGAAATGATGATGGGTCAAGCCTGGTATAAATTGCTACTGTGGCAGTTTGCTCATGAATGCAATGGCCCTTACTCACAGCCATTCTTCACAAAGTCCTGTCCTTAAATGGTTTCTATCTCTTCTCCATGAAAGTACCTGAGCTGCAGGGAGAGAGACTTCCCATTAGTGAAACTACTCCACCATCACATGTTCCTTGCACTTTGACCAATTGTGAGCCTCTGCCTTAATCCCATTCTACTTTATAAATACTGTAAGTCAGACAAAAATGCTAAGGTAATAGAAAAAAAAAGATGAATGCTAAGAATAGCATGATTCTATGAGTTTAAATGTAATAAGCTTGATGTCATGTCTATTCATAAAACAAAACAAACAAAGACATGATGGTAAAGTTTTCTTTTTATTATTATTGGTTCTAAGACCATCACCCACATAGTTTCTTGAACATGTTTGCATTTCTAGTCATTACCATTAATATCATTTTGTATATTTCATATAAGTATGAGAAATTCATAAAGGTTCATGTGTAGACTCCCCTTCAGTTTGTCAGCCTGCAATATAACCCCCCTTTAGAGCTCAGCCTGTCAGCCAGTGTCTGAAGCAGCAGTTTTCCTATCTCCACACAGAAATGATAACAATCCCCACATTTTCTCCTCCTTTGTGTGTCCACACAACTTTGACTAAAATGTATTCAGTGAAAACTTGTCCTCACTGTGACCATTGTCTCACAGGCTCTCACTGCACTTAGCATTAACCTCAAATTTACCAAGACGCCCCACAACCTAGGCAGTCTCACTCTTATGTTGGCCTCTATGCACAGTCCATTATATCTGCTTCCACAAGGATGAGCTTTTCCAGGACTTGTGCATTTAAGACCTTCTGCCTTTCATGAACACAGGGTCCTGTGCATGGGTAACGGGCTCCTCTTTGCATTTTTGTACTGCCAAATCTTTTCTACCAGGTTTGTTCTCAAGCAGCTGCTTCTGAGGAAGACATTCCTATACCTTAATTTTTGTTGCAAACCCCACAAGCTCATTCACTTTTCATCTTTTATTTCATCTTAGTATTTTTGTCTGACTGACAGTACTAACTACTCTCTCGTCAATGATAAGGAATAGGAAATTTACTTGTTAACTTCATTTAAATGACAACACATATTCATGTTAATGAAACTCTATGCAATGGGAGGCAGAAGAATGTGTACACACACATACATAGATCTATCTATCTATCTATCTATCTATCTATCTATCTATCTATCTATCTATCTATCTATGAGATGGTGTCTAGCTGTGTTTCTGTATCAGATAAACTATCATAAGTTGCTTGCATATGCAGTTTCTCCTCTGTCAGCACCCCAAATTCTCAGATTATAGGCACCCATCACCAAACTTGGCAGATGTGTGACGCTTAAAACGACAGTGTGTGGCAAGTTAAGTCCATAAGGATATAGGGGTAATATCTTATGAAGATGGATAGGAATGGCAGCCAAAACAATTTTTATCTCATGTCTCACCACCAGCAGCCATCCTGCTAATGAAACTTAATGAGAATTGAAGAGTTTGTAACTTATGGCCACATCTATATACTACAAGTTTTGGAATTCTAGATGCACTATTGACTGTGTAAACAAATTAAAACACTGCAACAGAACTTGGGGCTAACATTATTTCTACTGGTTACCTCTAGGAGGAGCTATGAACTGTCTGCTTCTTCTCAGGGAGATTAGAGAGGAGTAGTTTGTGGAGGAAACTGGTGGAAGTAGAGATCCTCCCTGGTCATGTCTGTAGTATAGAGGGCCACCGTTAGCTGCAGAATCAGTGGTATCTGCACAGCTTTCACAAACAGCTAAACAACATGTGATAAACAACATGACCAAAGCAACTTAAGAAAGTCATCATTGGTACTTTCAGAGTATTATAATCCACAATAGCTGAATGAAGGCAGTAGGCATCAGATCAAGGAGTTCCTGAAGCAGAACTCTGGGCTCACTTCTCCAACTCTATGTATATACTTAGATGTGTGTGTATGTATGTATGTATATGTGTGTGTATGTATGTATGTATATGTATGTATATATGTGTACTATATGTGTGTCATAACCATAATTAAAGTTAGTAAAGAATCATCAAACAATTGCTTGGAATTAAACCTGAGTCTTTTATAAGAGAAACAAATGTTCTAAATCATTGACATGACTCTTTACCCCAAAACCTTTGTGTTTTAATGGTTATCTTCTCTATCCCTTCTTGACTTTCCACATTTTCCATCCCTCTTCAATCCAGAATTTCCTCTCTTTCTCTCCATCCTCTCCTTTCTTTACTTTCTCCTACCCTCTCTTCTCCTTTTCTCTTTTTTCTTTCTTTCCTTCTTTTCCACTTCTCCTGTTTCTTTCTGTTGTTGTTGATCAGGATATTTATTGTCTCCTCAGGATTGTAATCAAAGGCTTTTCTAGTATTGTTTCTGGAAAACTCACATAGGGTACACATTTTTTATTTTTAATGGAAGGCTGACATGAGTACATCTTGATATTTGCAGTTTGAGAGCTCT